ATATATATATATATATGTGTACCCACACGGATGTTTGGATGTACCTGTGTTCGTGTTTGGGATTTCGTTTCGGTTTAGGGGAGACTACAGATTAATATCTTTCTTCATGCACAACGTTTGCCTAGGGATTTGGGCTCTCCAGGCTAGATATGGGAGGGTTTAGGGCCATGGAGATCTGGGGTTAGCAGTTCTGGAGATTTACTGGTTAAGGGTCAGAGGGTTGACAGTGCTTCGGTTCTGCGGTGTTCAATTCGCAGGGCTCCAACAGAGGAAGAATGCCAAACCTTCACAATTATTTGCCACGGTACATGTCGTCTTGTGCTCCAGTGCAATCCTGCCCTGAACCCTGTAAACCCTAGTAGTAAGTTTATCTTGTCAGTGCTTGTAGGCCTTGTCGGCCATGGTCACGGGTTCCCGTTGGCTGCAATCTAGGAACCTCAGATCGAAACTTCGTTACTAAATTGATCTTTTTGCAGCTGTGGCAGTTATGGCAACAGATATTTTGTACGATGTTCGAAGGGTTATGATTTAGTGGTTTCGTGGGGTTTGAACCCTGTGGTGTTTTTTGGCTTCCAGTGCTGCTGCGCTATCGCAGGTTAGGCTTTAGTTTGCTGCTATTGTTGAATAGCGTATAAACAGCGTATTACAAGAGTACACGATGGGTTGCCGGGTTGCCACTGTATCCAGAGTACTACTGCAATTACAGGGTACTTGCTGGGTTTGGCAATCCAAGTTCGTTAAAGTTCCAGCAGCTAGCAACAATTCTCGCAACATGTTATGTCTGTTTGTAAGCGACAGAAAGGGCAAACACCCTAATCCCTATTCGATTGTTTCACTGGAAGACGCCACTATCTTCAAGACCAGAACCTACAACACCACTGAAAGTATCACCCTACACTTGGAACCAGCTGTCTTCGACGCTCTTCTTGCTTCTATTGACTACACCGGGGGATCCCATTGGAATAAGATTCGATCCTGAACACTGAAGCCCAAACAAAATCCTTGACCGCAGAAGCGAAGCGCTCATTGAGTCGGATGCTTGAAACCTCTGGGAAATCGGACTGCCTGCGATGCGTGCGGCTTGGGGTGTAGATTCTGCTCCTCCCAGTGAATTATGGCTGACCTTGGGCAGCTTTTGCTTCAGGGATCCGAAACAACCCTAAGCCCTAAACCCGAACGCCTAAACCCGAAACCCTAGCCCTAAACCCTAAGCCCTAGATCCTGCACTCTGAACCTTCACCCTAGCGCCCTGAGTCCTGACGCAGGCATCGATGAGAAGTATGCGCTGAAGCGCTCGACGAATGAGGAGGCAGCTTTTTTGGTTGGGCACAGGATCACTTTCTTCAAAAGCTCCCTGCCCTTGCAACTGGCTTGAGGGCCATGGAGGCTTGCATAAGGTACTTCGTGTTGTGTCTTGTAACATAATTGCTCAGGAAGTTCCAGCTTGAAGTACAGCCCCGGGCCCTCTACAATCAACCCAAACACTGAACACCCCAAACCCTAAACAAACCCCAATGCTGAAAAACCCTACCCGCCCTACCCTGGGAAGTCTAAACCCCTCCTGGGCTCCAGCTAAGTCTGAAGGCCTGCAGTGATGTGAGGGCATGGTAGGAAAGTGGCTCCCGAAACCCGAAACCCGAAACCCTAAACCCTGGCCCCCAAACCTACACCCTAAACCCCGAAACTTGCTAAACCCTACACCCTGGACCCGAAACCGTAAGGCCTAAAGCCTTCACCCCAACCTGCTGCCCTGTGTCAGATACCGCCGCCACCGTACCCATGAAGCCGACAAAACGTAAACCCTAAATTGGAAGGCCCTGAGCCCTAAGCCCTGCGATTCTCTCCCTCAGCCCTCTAAGGCCTAGTGCCACCTCAAGAGTTTACGGCTTTAGGCTATGGGTTTAGGGTTTGGAGTCTAGCTCAACATCACCCCCAGAACCACGGCTAACTTGGAATCATTATAGCGCGAAGTCTCCAACATTTGAGGCTGCGGCTGCATGTAGTTGGGTTGCAAAAAGACAATATCATCAGGATCCCCTTATAGGTTTTCTTGACTCCCCCTTTCTGTATGCCCATAACCCGTTATGTGACATCCTGGTGTTGGCCTGTTGTTTTTTTTTCATGTGTCCCGTCAACAAATTAGACTCTTGTATGCTGCCAGGACAGATTATGTGATTTTGTCGCACATGCATACTTCTTACTAGAGCCAGATCCTGTTGCCGGCGCAGTTTATGTGGTTTTGTCAAGCTCGGTTGCTTATTGTTAGAAAGTCTTATCAGTGTATGTTTCGTTTGTTCAGGTTTCAAGAGTTTTTGTTATGCACATCCTCTCCCTCTTTTCCACTTTTGATTACATCAAGGAGCAGCCACCGATGAAAAATAATCAAAAATCATAAGACATACAAAATATGTATGTATGTATATATAATTATATATATATATATATGTGTATATATGTGCGCGTATCACAAGCACAGAAATACAGGCATGTATATATGTACTCACGAGTTCGCAAAAATGCTCACAACCTGTATGTGTATATATATATATACACACTATCTATCTGTGTATTTCATCTCTATCGAGTCTGTACATGTGTGTCTGCGTATGCATATATGTACATACACACACATATATATGTATATATTATATATATATATATATACATGTATGTCTGTCTATGTATGTATGTATGTATGTATGTATGTATGCATGCATGTATGTATGTATGTATGTATGTATGTATGTATAAGCTGTATGCATGTATTCTCTATGTATGCATTCTGTATGTATGTATTCTGCATGTATGTATGTATGTAT